AGGAGTGTGCTGTTCAATTTCCATGTATTAGAGAAATTTCTGCAGTATGCTTTGTTATTGAGAACTAGATTGATTCCACTGTGGTCAGATAGGATACAGGGGATTATGTCGATCCCTTTGTACTTGCTTAAGTTCCTTGCATGAACTATGATATGGTCTATTTTGGAGAAAGTTCCATGAGCTGCTGAGAAGAATGTGTACTGTGTTGTTTTAGGGTGAAATACTTGGTAGATATCAGTTAATTCCACTTGAAGTATGGCCTCACTTAATTCGGTAGCTTCTTTGCCAATCCTCTGGTTGATAGACCTGTCCTTTGGTGAGAGTGGTATGTTAAAGTCTCCTAGTATTATCGTATTGGGATCTATTTTATTCTGTAAGTTTGAGAGCGTTTGTTTAACATATCTGGGTGCACCAATATTTGGGGCATATAAGTTGATGATGGTAATATCCTCCTCTTGGATTGTTCCCTGTATTAATATGTAGTGTCTGTCCTTGTCTTTCTGTACTGATTTTAATGAAAAGTTTATTTTGTCAGGCATCAGGATAGCTACACCTGCTTTTTTTTTTTTGCCAGTCATGGGGCCTGCACTCTGGGTCTAGGCGCTGTCCCTCAGCTCTTCAGCTCAAGACTAGTGCTCTACTACTGAAGCCACAGCGCCACTTCTGGCTTTTTCTGTTTATGTGGTGCTGAGGAATCAAACCCAGGGCCTCATGCTTACAAGGCATGCACTCTACCGCTGAGCTACCTACCCAGCCGTACACCTGCTTTCTTACTGGGGGCATTTAATTGGTAGATCCTTTTCCAACCCTTCACTCTGAGTTTCTTTGTATGTTTGGCTGAGGTGGGTCTCCTGAAGGCAACAGATGGATGGGTCTTGTTTTCTGATCCAGTCCTCAGTTAGTTTTAATTGGCGAATTAAGCCCATTAATATTAAGAGAGAGTAGAGAGATGCATTGTTGTCCCTGCCATTCCGTTTTCCTAAGTTTTTCTTCTTTCCTTTCCTCCTGTGCTTGCTCAGTTAGACTTTGAGTAATGCCTGTCTGGGGCAGGACCTAGTTCCTGGTTGCTTTCTTCAGGTTGTGTCCCCCCTCTTAGAATTCTTTGCAATGCTGGCTTAATGTTTATGTATTCATTTAGTTTTTCTTTGCTATTAAAAGTTTTCAGTTCTCCATCGAATGTGAATGCTAGCTTTGCTTGGGTATATCAGTCTGGGTTGGCAGTTATTGGCTCTCAGGGCTCGTATGGTGCTTTCCCAGGCCTTTCTTGCGTTCATTGTTTGTGTGGAGAGATCTGCAGTGATTCTAATTTTTTTCCCGTTGTAGTATAGCTCCTTCTTCATTTTTGCTGCATGCAAGATTGTTTCCTTATTATTCAGATCTATCATTTTTACTGTAATGTGTCTAGAAGTGTTTCTCCTGGGATCTTGCTTGTTGGGTGTTCTATAGGCTTCTGTTATGTAGGTAAGATGTTCTTTTTTGAGGTGGGGAAAATTTTCACCCATTATCTTGTTGAATAGGTGTTGCATTCCCTTGCTCTGAAATTCCTCACCTTCATCCACTCCAATTATACGAAGGTTAAATTTCTTGGCAATTATCTGCTTGCTCTTGAATTTCCCTTTGGTTTGAGTGATTTTTTCATATCTGTCACTTTTTGGTCCAGCGGGTGTATTCTGTCTTCTGTATCTGACACTCTACCTTTCATTTCATTCACTCTGTTGACCGTGGCTTCTATTGTGGTTTGCATGGAGGAAATGGATCTCTTTATGGATTCGATGTTGGTTCTCAAAGTACTGATCTCACGATCTCACATCAGTATGCATTACCTCTAATTTGGCATTTACCTCACTTCTTAATGAGGTTTGTGCAGCTTCTATTTTTGCATGCATCTTGTTTGATATTCTGTATCTCTTTTGATAGTTCATCCTTGTGCTCTTTCAATTTCTGATCAATTTCTCGCTTTATTTCTTGAGTCACTGCCTCCAGCAACCCTTGGATGTAGCTTTTGTCTTCCATTCCTGCTTTGCTCCCACTGGGGCTCTCCCCTGTGTGGCTGCTGGCTATTGAGGATAGCTTGCTGTCCTGGGTGGTGGTAAACCTTGTAATTTTTCTTTGTGATTTTCACATGGGGGTTCAGGAGACTAATCTGCAATTTTGTTTTGTTGTATCTGTCTTTGCTTGGTTGCTGATTCTGTATTGGTAGAGAGAGTCTGTGGCTGATCTGGGTTCTGTTGGGAGCCTACTTCCAGCTGCTGGTCTGACCTACTAAGGCTTCTCAGCTCTCTGCTGTCGAGCGCTGGCAATTCCTGCCTTTGGAAGGGTTGAGCAGCCTAGACTGCTTGTGTTTGCTCCTACGGGTGCTCTTGGCAAGATCAGATGCTCTGGATGCACTCTCCCAAATACTGGAGTCTGCTATGGGCTCCTGATGTATTTTTGTTTGCTTGCTTTGGGCTGGTTGTGGGCTAAACTCTAGGTTTGGGTGCTGTCCCTCAGCTCTTCAGCTCAAGGCTGGCACCCTACCATTTGAGCCACAGCACCACTTCTGACCCTTTTTGCTTTTGTGATGCTGAGGGATCAGATCCAGGGCCTCATCCACCCAAGACTATCACTGTACTGCTGAGCCGCATTATCAGCCTGAGCTCCTGCTTACTATCAAGTGCTGGCGACCTGTGTTGCCCAATTCCCAGCCTAGAGTATATGGGTGGGGTTTTGGTGGGGTTTGGGCTTCTCTTGTCCTGAGCCTCCAGGTCTTTGGTGTCACAGGCATGCTTTCAGGCGCCGGATCCCCAGGTCTGGTTCCGGCCCCCACCTGGAGCGCGTTCATTGGCATGTGCTGCTGTGTATACCACCTAGGTTATACTGTTGGTTGTCTTGACCCGGGGTGCTGTTCCTGGCTTGGGCATTTAAGCTCCCTTCCAGGGGCGCTCTTGCTCTAGCCTGGCCAGCAGAGTGTGCTCCATAGGCTGGTGGAGCTCTCGAAGAGTTCCCAGTTTTAGTGGGTCCTGTGGTCCGGGTGTTGGGGTAGGGAGTCTGGGTCAGGGTCTGGGGATTCCCTCCAGCTCTGGTCTCCCTTGAGGGATACACTGTCCCCTGTGGAGTACTCACCCTGGAGCTAGTTGTTTCTGTGTGGTGTAGGTCGTCAGTTGCTGTTGCAATTCGAGTTCAGTTGGGGTGGTTGCGGGCTGGGCTGGGCGGTGGTGGCTCTGTGTGATTCTTTTCTGTCTCTGCCTCTATTGGAGCTGTCGGGTCCACAGTGTCCACGCTCAGGCGGCTTCTGCGCGGGTGATCCGCACGCAGCCCCCTGTGCCTCTGGGACCCCGGCTGGGCTTCGTGACCAGTGGGTCTGACACCAGTGCCTCAGGCGGCTTCTGTGCGGGGTGATCTGCAGGCAGCCCCCTGTGCCTCTGGTGGCCCCTGCCGGGTCTTCGTGATTGGTGGGTCTGGGGTCTGACACCAGTGCCTCAGGCGGCTTCTGAGCGAGTTATCTGCAGGCAGCACCCTGTGCCTCTGGGACCCCGGTGGCTCCCGCCGGGTCTTCGCAATTGGTGGGTCTGACACGGGTACCTCAGGCGGCTTCTGCGCGGGTGGTCTGCAGATAGCTCCCTTTGTCATGCTGCCGGTGCCAGGTGGCTTTGGCGGGATGGAGCCTCTCTACTCCGGTCGAGAGTGAGGGTCGAGGGTGAGGGTGGGATCTTCGTGCAGACTCCCGGCTGGTGGGTTTTTCTGTTTGTGGTGATCAGCTGGTCTGCAAACCAGTACCTCAGGCGGCTTCTGTGCGGGTGATCTGCAAGCAGCCCCCTGTGTCTCTGGGGCTCCAGCAGCACCCGCCAGCCCCCGCCTGGCCGGCTGGCCACGACTTGGCGCGCTACCGCGCGGCCAGTAAAAGTTGGGGGAGGGGTCTTCACTCTTCTCTGTTCTGAAATTCTTTTCCTCTCTTTTGTTATTTTCCACCTCCTGTTTTTCTGAGTGTTCGTCTTTTTGTTGTTGTTGGTCTCTTGGGGAGATTAAACATTGGAACTCGAACTCTCTTTTTGGTTGGGGAGAGCTGTGGTGTTTCCCTACTGCCTCGTCGCCATCTTGGTCCCCCCTCCTCGGGACTTTTCTTCAATTTGTTTTTTCTTTCTCATGATTCCATATGCTTTATCTTACATATAGTGTATGTATGTGCATATCTGTGGGAGGGCCGGGGGGAGGGCACAGAACCCGAGGAACAGGGATGAAAAAGTGCAGCAGTGGAAATAAATGCACTGGACATTGATGAAAGTTAATTATGCAACTTGTGTGGAGATGGAAATGGGAGAAAATGAGGAAACAGACCACACTGTGTGAAAGGAAATGTTGTTATTACCTGATGCATGTAAATGTAGCCCTTCTGTATATCACCTCTATAGTAACAATAAATTTTTAAAAAATTTCTAAATAATTTAAAGCCCAGTACAGTGGCTTATACTTATAATCCTAGTTATTACTAGGAGTCTGAGACCAGATTACAAGCTAGTCCAAGCAGAAAAGTCCAGACTTTTATCTACAATTAACCAGTAAAAAGCCAGAAATGGAGGCATGGCTCAAGTGGTAGAATGCCAGCCTTGAGCAAAAATGTCAAGAAAGAATATAAGGCCCTGAGTTCAAGTCCGTCCCATTACCAGCACAAACAAAACAAACAAAAACCCCATTTATATATAAAGAAAATAAAGAAAAATAAAAACGTAAAATTAACTATTAGTTAAATAAAAAACATACTAGTCAGGTACTGGTAGCTCACACCTTTACTCCTAGCTTCTCAGGAGGCTGAGATCTGGAGATCATGGTTCAAAGCCAGCCGGGGCAGCAAAGTCCATGAGACTTTTATCTCCAATTATCCACCAGAAAACTGGAAGTGGTACTGTGGCTCAAAATGGTAGAGCACTAGCCTTGAGCAGAAAAGCTCAGGGATAGTACCCAAGCCATAATTCAAGACCCACAACCAACCAAAAACAAAAAAAGAAAAAAGAAACACAACTCACCTCCATTTTGTAAGCTCCCATCAATAAATTCTTTAGTCTGAAGGTCAAAGACAATGTGTTAAAACAATACACATAGATTAACACAAATAAGTCATAGTAAAATAAAATTAATGAAAAATAATTTAATACTAATTTAGATAAAAAATTATTTATCTTGATTCTGCAATATTATGCTTGTTATAGAGCCACACACCTATAATCCTAGGTGCTGACCTGGGAGGATCAGGGCAAGACAATCATAAATTCAAAGTCTGCTAGGACTACACAATGAGAACTTACCTCAAAAAAATAAAACAAAAACTCAAGCACATCAAAATTCCATAAATATAACTAGTACAAGCTTATAGGAACTATAATAATTTTAAAGTTTCCCTAAACAATCCATTTCCTTTAAAAAACATCCCACAATTTTCAGCAATAATGAAGTAAAATTAATGTTTTACAGCCACAATTAAAAGATTCAAATTATCAATAAATTTAAATATTAAAATAGCAATACTTACCATAGGGAAAAAGCGTATTATATTTTCAACTGGATTATCTGCAATATCCAAGACTAAATATCTGAAAATGAAACAATTCATGATAAGCATACTGTTATGCATAGAAGAATTAACTTTGAATATTTCTTGGTAACCATGAAAAGAATGCAAAATGATTTTCAAACACTGAAATTTCAAGAACTAGGTCACAGATTTTGTATTGCTTGAAGGCATAGTAAGTAAATCCTTAAACAGCACATAAAAATTTGATATTTTGGTATAAAAAATCCACATGGTGGGGCTGGGAAGGTGGCTTGGTGCTAGAGCGCCTGCCTTACATGCATGAGGCCCTGGGTTCAATTCCTCAGCGCCACATAAGCAAAAAGAAAAAAGCCGGAAGTGGTGCTGTGGTTCAAGTGGTAGAGCGCTAGCCTTGAGCTGAAGAGCTGAGGGACAGCACCCAGGCCCAGACTTCAGGTCCCACAACCGGACCCGAAAAAAAAAAAATTCACATGGTTACCATAAGCAATAAAGAAACTGTCCATGAGGTCCTAGAAAATAAAGACAAAAATGTGCCTGTGATTCTTAGTCTTCTTTTTCTGTTTCTAGCAACTTCCGTAAGTTCAGATGGCTATTCTCTAAGTGATCTTGTGACCCCTTTCAATAGATCTATACAGGACACACACACACACACGACTTAGACCTCCCTATCGATACCACCAACACCAATATTGTAGCAAGTCTGTATACATTACTGCATGCCTAAAAATTAAACACTAAAGACAAGCAGATTTTTCAATTAAAAACAAATTCTACCAGTATAGTTCAGTGTGCTAGTACATGAGGATGCTAGTAGTATTCTCCAGAGTAATTTGGAGGCTGAAGCAGGAATATTGCTCAAATTTGAGGCCAGTCCCAAAAAACAAACAGCAAAACTGTAAACTCCTAGGGATGACATAGTTATACATGTAATAATCATGGAAACCATGGCAAATCAACATATAGATATATCTCATTCTCTCATTCTTTTTCATGGTTACATTGTATTTTTGGACAGTGACCAGGCCCTGAGTTCAAGCCCCAGGACTGGAATTAAAAAAAAAAAAAGCAGGAAGTGGTGCTGTAGCTCAAGTGGTAGAGCACTCGCCTTGAGCTGAAGAGCTGAGGGACAGCGCCCAGGCCCAGAGTTCAAGCCCCACGACCAACCAAAAAAAAAAAAAAGGCAGAGCAATTAATATTAAGAGACGTAGATACAGGATATCTCTAGAAAACATTAATAGTAGCTGCTTCCCAAGAGAAGTGGATGGTTTATATGCCCACTTAACTTTGTATAATATATATAATATATGCCTTCTAAAATAATTAAGAGGGGGCTGGGAAGGTGGCCCGGTGGTAGAGCGCATGCCTTGAATGCCAGAGGCTCTGGGTTCGATTCCTCAGCACCATATAAGCAAAAAGAAAAAAGCCGGAAGTGGCGCTGTGGCTCAAGTGGTAGAGCGCTAGCCTTGAGCTGAAGAGCTGAGGGACAGCGCCCTGGCCCAGAGTTCAGGCCCCATGACCGGACCCAAAAAAAAAAAAAAAAAGAATAAAATAATTAAGAACTTCAAAGACTATTAAAACTATTAGAAGCTCAACCGCATTACAAGAAAGTAAATGAGAAAGTCAAAACTACGCATGCAAGACACTATTTTTACTCTGTGAGACAAGGAAAACTAAACTGTCATTCTGTCCTGCAGAGAAAGAAAACTAGAATAGGCCCTCTCATATGCTTTGTAGTAGGAAAGGTAAACTGACACAACACACTGGATGATATCAAAGCTTGAGGCAAAGCTGGTGGTGGCTCCTATAATCCTAACTGTTTAAAAAGCTGAGACCTAGAGGATCTGTTTGAAGCCAGCCTACGCAGAAAAGTCCAAGAGATTCTATGTCCAATTAACCAGTGAAAGCCAGACTTGAGGTATAGCTCCTGGCAGAGTGCCAGGGATGATCAAACACAAGGACTTGAATTCAATTCTGGCAGAAAACAACAACAAAAACCTCTTAAGGATGTGTACAGGGGCTTAAGGCTGTAATCCTAGCTACTTGGATGGTAGAAATCAAGAGTATCATTGTTCCAGTCCTGGCAAAAAGGGAACAAGACCATATCTCTCTCAATCAATAAAAGTGACATGATGGTGAGTGCCTGTTATTCCAGGCACCTAGGATAGCAGTCTAGGATAGCAGGTCGGGCAAAAACATAAGATTTTGGCTGAAAAATTAACTACAGAGAGTGAAAATGCTCATGTTCTTATAACCAGCAATTCTACTTTTACGAAGTTATCCTATCAGTATATTCAGATGGATTAAATGTCATGTAAAGAAATCATTACAACACACACACACACACACACACACACAAACACACATGTGAATAAACTTTATTACTAATACAATGGCTTCATAGTTTTCTCAAAAGAATAAAAATTAGGTTAAAAAAAAGCCATTGTGGGCTGGGAAGTTGGCTCAGTGGTAGAACGCTTGCCTTGCATGCATGAGGCCCTGGGTTCGATTCCTCAGCATCACATAAGCAGGGGAAAAAAGCCGGAAGTGGCACTGTGGTTCAAGTGGTAGAGTGCTAGCCTTGAGCTGAAGAGCTGAGGGACAGCACCCAGGCCCAGAATTTAGGCCCCACGACCAGACAAATAAAAAAAAAAGCCATTGTAAAAATGAAGTTTATGTTGGTCTGTGTCAACCCTTCAACATTTTCACCCACCTTTGATCCAACCCCTCCCTTCCCTTATTTTTCTTAATTTTGTGGTACATACAAAGAATTCTTGACAGATCAAGATGCACCATATACTAAGCCAGTTTGTTAAGTGGCAAAAAAAAAAAAGAAAAAATTCAATATATCCTACAAAATTAAGAAAAGTAAGGGAGGGGTGAGTTGGGAGACTATTGAAAGGGTAACATGATCAAGAGGCACTGCATTTATAAACTCCTTTGTTGAATGGCAACTCCTTTGTAAAACTACTAAAAGATAAAATAAAGTTTATCTATAGGAACATGTTTCTAAACGTCATAGGAACTCTGACAAGATATTCAATGAATTAACAGTAGATGCCTATTATTTTTCAATTTTACCTTTGAATCAGCATACATTAATAACAGGAAGAGTTTCACTGTGACAATTCCATATATACAATGTACTTTGGGTAAGTTCACCTCTGCATTGTACTTTCATTCCTTCCTTCTCTCCTCCCTTTCGTGAAGTGTGTGGTAGGTAGGTTTCCTCATGCTGTGCTTACTCTCCCACCAAATCCCTATATTCATGTCCCACCATCACCATCACTGCCATTTTGGATCTAGGTTTCACAAATGAGTGAAAACATCAGATATTTGGCTTTTTAAGCTTGGCTCATCCAGCTTAATATGACCTATAGTTCCATCTATTTTCCTACAAATGATATAATTTGAACTCAGGACCTGGGTACTGTTCCTTAGCTGTTTTGCTCAAGACTGGCACCTTACAACTCGAACCACAGCTCCATTTCTAGCCTTTTGGTGGTTAATTGGAGTTAAGTCTCATGGACTTCTCTACCTAGTTTTAGTGTTTTTTTTTTTTTTTGAGGAAACACCTACATTTCCATGGTGGTTGCATTAGTCTACATTCCCAGAGTGTGAGGGTCCCCGCTCGACCTTTCTAGCCATCCCCATTTTCTCTAGCATTTCTTTCTTTTCCTGATGACTAACATTCTGACTGGAGTGAGACAGAACCTCAGGGATGGCTTGATTTGCATTTACATTGTAACTAGAGATGTCAAAACAGTTCCTCATGCATTAGCCTTGGTATTTCTTCTGAGAGCATTTGTTCAATTATTTGCCCATTTATTAATCAGATTATTTGTTCTGCTGTTTAATTTTGGGGGCTGTGTATAATCCCTTATCTGTTGAATAGTGTCAAAGACTTTCTGCTGTTTTATGGGTTATTTCTTGATTCTGGTAATTGTTTCTTTTGATGTGCATAAACTTTTAAATTTAATCCACTTGTGAGTTCTTGCCCTTATTTCCTAGGCAAAGGGAGTCCCATTCAAAAAATAACTACCCAGGGCTGGGAAGGTAGCTCAGTGGTAGCGCTTGCCTCACATGCATAAGGCCCTGGGTTTGATTCTCAGCACCACATAAGCAGGAGAAAAAAAAAAAACAAAAACGGAAGTGGCACTGTGGCTCAAATGGTAGAGCGCTAGCATTGAGCTGAAGAGGTGAAGGACAGCACCCAGGCCCACAGTTCAGGCCCCACGATCGACCAAAAAATAAATAAAAATTATCCATACCTATGTCTTTAAAAGTTTTTGCTTAGACTTCCCATATGTCTTTTAGATCTTAGATTATGATCTTTATCCACATGGAGTTGAAGTTTTACAAGGTGAAAGGTAAGGCTGCAGTTCCAGGCTTCTTGCACTTGTCATTGAATAGGTTGTCTTTTTTCTAGTTTTTGGCTCCTTTGTCTACTATCAGGTAGTTGCAGCTATGCAGTTTCATTTCTGGGATTTTTCTTCTGGCTCATTTTTCATTTTGTCTGTTCCTGTGCCACTGTCATCCTGTTGTCACTGTGGCTCAACAGTGTAATTTGAAGTACAGTACTATAATTCTGGTGGTTTCTCCAGCTCTTTTTGCACCAGGATTACTTTTGCTATTCGTGGTTTTTTATGCCTCCATGACATTTTAGGATTTTTTTAACACTATGATTTTGATGGGTATTACATTCAATCTGAAGGCTGTTTTTTGGTAGTATAACCATTTTCATGAGATTAGTTCTGACAGTTCATACACAAGAGGTCTTTTTCAACTTCTGGTGTCTTCAATTTCTTTCAAGGTTTTATAGTCTTCATCTCTGAGCTTTTTTGCCCAAGGCTAATGCTCTACCATTTGAGCAATAGCTTAAATTCTGGCTTTTTGGTCCTAAATTGGAGATGTGTCTCATAGACTTTCTTGCCCAGAAGGCTTCTAACCTCAATCTTCAGATCTTAAACGCTTAAGTAGCTAGAATTACAGGCATGAGCCACTGGTGTCTGGCTCACGTGTATGCTGATTTTGTATCTTATGCTGTTGAAAGTGTTTATCTGATCTAGGAGAGTTTTTGTTGTTGTTGTTGAATCTTGAGGGTCTTGTAAATATAAGATCAAGGATCATATCATCTGAAAACAAGAATAATTTGCCTTCACCCTTTCTTTATGAATCCCCTTTTATTTCTATCTCTTTATGTTATTACTAGGTAGGAATTCTAGTATGACAAAGGAAGAGAGGGAAGAATGGGGGAGGTCTTTGGTTCATTCCTGACTAGAGAAAATCATTTCAATTTTTATCCATTTCCTTAAAGATGCTGTGTACACGTGCACTCGCTCGTGCTGTCTCTCTCTCTCTACCTTTCACCGGACTAATACACAGGCATAAAGGAAAATGAACTCATATCATCTGCAGGAAAATGGGTGTTAGTACACAGCATCATACTAAGAAGCAAATGAAGTACAAAAATCAAGGCATTTTCACTAATATGTGGGAGCTAGATCTAAAAGACATTCATGGACATGAAGATACATGTATACATGTATATATACTTATACATACAATATGTACATATATACTACGTATTAAATAGTACAGGTATATATAAATGTATAAACATTCAACGTTAATATTGAAAGGTATGTAGTAATTATGACTTTTTGTTGTTTGGTAGTATTTGATTCTTCCCTACTCCTCATTTGTTTAGTCCTCTAGTGAGATTCACTTTTTCCTATATTATGGTTAAATTTTTCTCCTCTTCTCTGTGTAAGATTCCTTGATGACTCTCTTCTGCAATGCTGGTTTAATAGTCACCAATCACTGTAGTTTTGCTTATCATGGAAGGTTCTTATTTTCTTCTCCATTTATAATGATAGCTTTGCTAGGCATAGTAATATAGCTTGGCAATTATTTCTTTTTTTCTTTGGCATTTGAAATGCATCACTCTATACCTCCTTTGCTTTCAAGGTTTTTGTTGAGAAATCAGATGTTTTTGATCTTGTCTTTATAGGTAACCTTGTGTGTCTCCCTTGCAGCTTCTCACATTACCTACTTATTCTCTGTACTTAATGTTTTAACTTTAATTGACGATACAGAGGTTACAGTCTGGTCTTGTGTTTACTCACACATCCCCTCAGAGCCATGGACTGCCCAGCTGCAGCTTTGGTGTGGTGGGACTTGCTTGGTTTAGTTTAGGCTCTGGCTCAGGGGCAGCTGCTAGGTGAAACAGTACCAATCCTAAGGCACTAGGCTAGTCTGCTTGGGTTAAGTAGGGCAGTTCCAGGACTATAAGATAGCTTGGGGGAGGAGTGTATCTGGGACCTCTGTGCTTTGCCCTCCTTGGAGAAGCCAATAGTAACTGGATGTTCAGAGTTTTTTCTCTTTTCTACTTTGGCTTCCAATTTAATTAATGCATTATTAGGAGACTGAAGGGTGAGAAATTGTTACTTGTGTGTACATGTTCAATGCAGAATAGGGCGATGGGTTTACAGCTTTAGCAAGCTGGTTCACTTACTTCTGCACCCTTTCCTTGGGTAGGGACTTAAGCTAACCCTAGCCAGCCTGCTTGCTGGCTTCTGTGCCTTTCCTTTGTCTTATGGTAGATACTCAGAAACTGAGCTGTAGCCAAGTGGCTTATTCCCTTTCTTCCCTTTTCCTTCTTAGTATATACTCTTTTTACCCTCTAGAAATTTACATTATGTGTAGCTCAGTGGCAAAGTGCTTGCCTAGCAAGTGCAATGTCCTGGGTTTGATTCTCAGTACCAAAAACAAACACACAACAAACAAGGAATTTGCATCATGAGCATTATTTAAATATTTTAAAATAGATTTTATTTTAAATAAAATTTTGTACTATATGACCCATCCTTACAAAATAGGTATGTACAGAAAAAATTCCAATTGTATAAACTTAAAATATAAATGTATTATAGCGCCACCAAAGTTCAACTTGTACTAACATGCATGGGGCCCTGGGTTTGATCCCCTGTACCTCAAAACAAAGAAAAAAGCCAAACAATAAAAACTACATTATATATTTTCTATCCTTAAGATTTTTATAAACCATATAAAAAATTCTTACCTAAATAACTGTTGAAAGTTTGGTTTAATAAAGTTTGCTTCAATATTTTGTCGAATGCAAATTATATGGGTTATTCCATGTTTCTGTAGTATAGGTAACTGTAAAAAAACAGGAAGGATAGGGAAGAGAAGCAGTTTGAAATACAAAACATCTTACTATAACATAGCTGCCTGCAATACACAGGATTCATCTGAGCCTTAAGTACAGAGGATTAAAACTAATTTCAAGGTAAACTTCCTAATCAGCAAGATTTGAGATGAAAGCATTAAATGTATTCTAAAGGCTAACCCAGATTTTTTTTTTTTACTGCTGGTTATGGGGCTTGAACTCTGGGCCTGGGCACTGTTCTTTCGCTCTTCAGCTCAAGGCGAGTGCTCTACCACTTGAGCCACAGTGCCACTTCCGGTTTTCTAGTGGTTTACTGGAGGTAAGAGTCTCATGGACTCTCCTGCCCGGGCTGGCTTTGAACCTCCATTCTCAGATCTCATTATCCTGAGTAGCTAGGATTACAGGCGTGAGCCACTGGGCCCGGCAACCCAGATATTTTAAAATCTGTAATTCTAGAGCTTGATGAGACTTTAAGAGAATGTACCTGGAAAGTAGCAATATGTAGTAGTGGCTAAAAGCCTGGGTTGCCAGGCACCAGTGGCTAACACCTGTAATCCTAGCTATTTAGGAAGCTAAGATCTGAGAATCGCAGTTTGAAGTCAGCCTAGGCAAGAAAGTCCATGAGACTCTTATCTCCAATTAACTACCAAATAAGTTAAAAGTGGAGCTCACATTGGTAAAGTGGTAGTTTTGAGCAAAAAGTTCAGGGACAGTGTCCAGGCCCTGAGTTCAAGCCCCAAGGCCAGCACCAAGCCCCTGGCCAGTACCAAAAAAAAAAAAAAAAAAAAGTTTGGGGTTAGTACCATGATAGCCTGAGCTAGATATCCCAGCTCTATTAATGACCTAAGCCCTGAGGCTCAATTTTGTCATGAAAAATGAGAAAAGACTACCTATTAAGTGGTGGTGACAGTATACATTGTAATGAGATCTTTTTAATTTTGGTGGTATAATTTACTTTTATTTTTATTTTTAGTCCAGTCGTGGGGCCTGAACTCTGGGCCTGGGCACTGTCCCTCAGCCCTTCAGCTCAAGGCTAGCGCTCTACCACTTGAACCACGGTGCCACTTCCGGCTTTTTTCTTTTTGGTTATGTGGTGCTGAGGAATCGAACCCAGGGCCTCATGCATGCAAGGCAAGCGCTCTACCACCGAGCCACCTTCCCAGCCCTTGGTAGTATAATTTAAAAGAAGTTTATTATGGTTTGACTACATGGAATGTACATAGCATATAATACTTTCCAATGGGGAACACTTAGACTTCAAGTTTGGAAAAACAGAAATAAGATGAATCATTTTCCATTAAAAGACATACATACTCTTATCCCTGAAAGAGAAGGTTAAGTAAAATACTGACTTTTAGTTAACCTTATTTTGGGATTTATCTCCATCTCATATTGTTCAGAATGGATTCCTAATACTTATGGATGATTAATAGTCTTAAGAGAATTAACAATCATTTATTAACAAATCTTTCTAATACATAAGTTTCCTGAGAAAAAATAAATTATAAAAACTCATTTACGATCTTTGGTAAAACACTTGAGTACTGGTCTAGCAAAATTGGGAAAGAAAATTGATTGCTGTGGCTCATGCCTTTTCTTTCAGCCACTCATAAGGCAGCGATCAAGAAGATTTCTCTAATGAAATCAGACTAGTGAGGCCACCGGCTGACTGAACAAATACTCTGTTTCTGAAAGTACAGCCTGTAATTCCAGCTATGCAAGAAGATTTTTGGTGTGCCCAAGGATGGTTGCTCAAAAAGTGAAATTTAACTAAAACAAATAAGGACAAGGAACATGGCACTAAGCCAAATTTAAACCTTAGTACTTCAAAATAAATTAGTTGGTTTACTTGGAATGCTGAGATTGGGAGGATTGTACGTCAAAGCAACAGCTGGCAAAATATTCAAAAGACCCTATATCTCAACCAATAAAATACAGCGTGACACGGGCCAGTCATCTCAAATATGTGGGATGTATAAATAGGAGTACTGCCATCCAGGTCAGCCCAGAAAAAAAAAAAAGACCATATTTGAAAAATAAGAAAAAAAAAAAAAAAGAACTAGGATGTAGCTCAAGTGGCATAGTGCCAGGCTAGCTAGTGCAAGGCTCTAAGTTCAAAATCCTAGTACATACATATATACATACATTTATACAAAATATACATAACACTGGAAGAGACAGGACCTATGGAATAACAATAGTCTGAATCCAACCAATCAGTGTGAGTGCAACCTAGAATAAAACTCTACTAAAAAACTTACTAGAGAAAAACTGTTCACAGGTAACCCCTGTTGCATATCATTACTAAAACAATAAATTAGGGGGGGAAAAACTCTCAAGACCGTAACCTAAATTTCATACCTTGCTCTTCATAGCAGAAGAATATGGCCCTAAGAACAGTCCAGGTAAAATTTCCTAGGGAAGAGAAAAAAAAAATAGACCAAATATATACTATATACTAGATTCATAAGATTTTTTTTGTTTTTATCAGTCATGGGGCTTGAACTCTGGGCCTGAGCACTGTCCCTCAGCTCTTCAGCTAAAGGCTAGTGCTCTACCACTTGAGTTACAGTGCCACTTCTGGTTTTCTGGTGAGTTTAGAGATAAGAGTCTCATGGAGTTTCCTGCCCTGGCTGGCTTTGAACCGTGATTCTCAGATCTCAGCCTCCTGAATAGGATTACAGGCGTGAGCCACCTGCGCCCAGCTTTATGAGATTTTTTTTCCTAACTGTCACAGTTTGCTGAAAAGTTTGTTAAAGAACATTTATTCTAGCAACAATGAGCAATGATTGGAAAGAGAAATGTTAAGTATGCCTTATAATATCAAATGAGCTATTCCAAATTTAAATACAGTTCTAAAGAATCATATATGTGAATTTCTAGTCTTTTATAAGCAATCGATAGATTTAGTACTTTTTTTTACTTTTTGATTAGTAAGATCTAACTTTACTTCTTTGTGTGCTACAGTCTAAAAATAAAGCAGTCAGCTGGGCGCCCGGTGGCTCACGCCTGTAATCCTAGCTACTCAGGAGGCTAAGATCTGAGGATCTTGGTTCAAAGCCAGGTTCAAAGCCAGCTCAGGCAGGAAAGTCCATGAGACTCTTATCTCCAATAAACCACTCAAAAACTGGAAGTGGTGCTTGTAGCTCCTGTGGTAGAGCACTGGCCTGAAAGCTGAAGAGCGCAGAGACAGCACCCAAGCCCACAGAGTTCAAGCCCCACTACAGATCAAAACAAAAACAAAAACAAAAAATAAAGCAGTCATTAAAAAAACAAAACAAAACAACAACAAAAAACCTTCCCTTTGGATTACACAGAACCTTAGAAGCAGCACAGATCTAGATGTGGTTGTACACAGTTATAATTCCAAGACTTGGGAATCTGAGGCAGTACAAAATTTGATACATCTTGAGGCCATAAAACAACAGCCCCACCAAAGCCAGATACAACATGATTAGAAATATTATCTATAGCATAATGATAAAATTATTTGTGTACTGGATTACTTTGACATGAGTTTCATTTAGGGCAGTAATTACCTTTTAGTCATCTTTACATTTTCCATAGCACCAAATAATACCTCTTATGTACTCATATTTTAAAGTGTGAATTTTTTTTTTTTTTTTTTTTGCTGGTTGTGGGGCCTGAACTCTGGGCCTGGGCGCTGTCCCTTAGCTCTTCAGCTCAAGGCTAGCGCTCTACCACTTGAGCCACAGCGCCACTTCCGGCTTTTTCTGCTTATGTGGTGCTGAGGAATCGAACCCAGGGCCTCGAGCATGCAAGGCAAGTGCTCTACCACTGAGCCACCTTCCCAGCCCTAAAATGTGAATTTTTATGAACACAAAAGTTAGCAAAACTTTAAGTTAAAAAGTCCTAGAAATGAGAAATCACTTAATCCAAAGGCTAGCAGAGTTACTACAAACAGTAAGAACAGTAAAAGACCGGTGTCGGTAGCTTATGCCTATTTGGGAGACTGAGATAGGGGGGATTATGGTTCAAGTCCAGCCTGGGCAAAAAACAATTTTCAGATAATCCTTTTTGACTAATACCTGGATATGGTGGCGTGAATCTGTCTTCCCAGCTTCATGCAAAGTATAAATAGACAGATCATAGTCTAGGCACATGCCTGAGCAGAACCCAATCTCAAAAATAGCTAGTGCATAAAAGGGCTAGAGGCATGATTCAGTGGTAGAGCACCAACTGAGTTTAAATCTCATTACCACAAAGAAAGAAATGCAAAAGAAAAGGAATAAGCTGGGTGTTGGTGGCTCATACCTGTAATCCTAACTACTCAGGAGACTCAGATCTGACAATTTTGGTTCAGAACTAACTTGGACAAAAAAGTCCATTAAGACTATCTAATCTCCAATTAACCAGCAAAACGTCAGAAGTGGAGGTGTGGCTCAAGTGGTAGAAGGGGAAGAGAAACAGAAAAGGAATAGGAATTCCATTTTTCAAAAAAGGAAAACATGACTCATTAACTACACATATTATTTCTTTCTTTTTTTTTTTTTGTCGGTCATGGGGCTTGAACTCTGGGCCTGGGCGCTGTCCCTCAGCTCTTCAGCTCAAGGCGAGCGCTCTACCACTTGAGCTACAGCGCCACTTCCGGTTTTCTGGTGGTTTATTGGAGATAGGAGTCTCACGGTCTTTCCTGCCCGGGCTGGCTTTGAACCACGATCCTCAGATCTCAGCCTCCTGAGTAGCTAGGATTACAGGTGTGAGCCACCAGCACCCGGCTTACACATATTATTTCTAAATCTAATAAAAGGAAACAATTCATTTCTCAAATGAGAAAAAATTTAATTGACACATGAAAATTAACATATTTATGAAGCATCTACTAGGTAGTATTTTTATCACATAATGTTCAAATTACATAAACATATCTGCAATTCTTGGTGGGCTTTTTATTTGGGTACCAGATTTGAAGCTAGGGCCTGGAATCCCTTGGCTCACATACTTGGTTGGCACTCTCAACTAGGTGGAGCACCACACCTCCCCAGTGCTGCTTTTTGTTCATTATTTTTTGAGATGGAATCTCATGAGCTTTTCTGCCAAGGCTGGCCCAAAACCTCATTCTTCTAGATCTTAGCCACTTGAGTGGCTATTATTTTAAGCATGAGCCAACAGTATCTGGCTTAATCATTGTCTTTCCAAGATCTAATATAAACCTTAAATAATTAAAACAGTTAACTTATAAAATAGTGAATACATCATGAATCAACAGATTTCAAATGCTCTGTAAAATTAGCTTAAGTTATTTATAATATAGGTTGGCATAAATAAATAAAAGTTTGTCATACCTGCATCTCTCTTCTCATAGGGTACGACCACTCCTTAAAGTGAAAATAAAAGAAAAAAACATTAAAAATGTCACAAAGATATGACAGTCAAACGTGTAGATTAAAAATACTTATATTACTCTTTTATTTTTGCTTTGCTGGGAGTTGAAACCAAGCAAGTGTTGTAGCACTGAGGTAAATCAGCAGAAAAAAAAAATTACAGTATAAGAGCACTTTAGCTAGCTAGAGTATAGCTTGTCTACCATGGTATGAAGTCCTGGGATTAATTTTCGATATACATTTTTTTTAAAACCCTGTAAAAACAGCCTAAGTTGACAGAAATAAGATTATTGTTAGTCAACTGCCGGGTTGAATAGAGAATGGCTTCTCCACGATTAACTGGAGGTATGAAGTCTCAGTGTTTTAGCCACTGAGCTGGCTTGGAGCTTTGGTCATCAGATCTCAGCTTCCTTAGTAAGAATTTATATATGTGAGCCACAGGCACCAGGCCAAACTACTTTTATATCACAGAAAACATGAACATATAGGATTAAAATACAAATTTTAAAGCAAAACCTGAAAGACTCCAAAGAAATTTCAAATTTCCCAGACATAGACTGTAGGCAACAGAATGTGAGCTTTGTATTTATACAAAAATATTTTAAGAAAGCCAGTTGCATAATAGGAGAAAATTAAGTATTATTCCTATTCACAAAACCAATAGGCACAGCCTTATCTGATAAGCTATCAGGCTTTGGTGTTATTAGGTATAGATCCTTTGGAACCTAAAAAGCTTTCTCTCAGAAAAAATTTCACTTAAACTCCTCCTGTGCCATAATCAGATCTGGTTTCAGAGACCATCTTTGTTGCCCCAACGCTGTGCTTATTGTTTGGAAATGATCTGGGTGTGTGTCCAAAGGTCATGTCCAAGTTTATCCCTATTATTAGGTATTAAAAGGGCAAAACTTAATCTAACTATGATGTTTAGAGGTGAGCTTTTATTAATATGCTTAGGATTAGATAAGATCATGACAGTAAGTCCCCATGATTGAATCTTGGAGAGAGAGACCAAAAGACAGACAGACATACACACACAAACATTCCGTTTCTCGCCTCCTGCCACATGATACCCTGCCTCTGCCAGTGAGAAGCACTAGATGCAGACCTCTGATCTTGCACCTAGAATATCTTGAGCAAAAATAAACCTCTTTTTTTTTTTTTAAATTCAGTCATGGGGCCTGAACTCTGGGCCTGGACCCTGTCCCTCAGCAATTCAGCTCAAGGCTAGCAGTCTACCACTTGAACCACAGTGCCACTTTCAGCTTTTTCTGCTTATTGGTGCTGAGGAATCAAACCCAGGGCCTCATTCGTGCAAGGCAAGCACTCTACCACTGAGCTACCTTCCCAGCCCCTGTTGTTTTTTTCTTTTTTAAAGCAACTTATCCAATCTGTGCCATTTTATATTACTGGCAACAAAAATGGACTATGACACCTTGATTACGGTCTTGGTTTATAGAATGAACCTTGAAACCTGAGTTGTGTGCATATGGTAACACCATTACCATATCAGATCAAGATTTTAAGCATTATTCCTGCTTATAATTCTTGCTCTACAGACACCCATCTCTTTGAGTATGTCTCTAATAATTAAATCTTATCTATATCATACCTTTTCCCCCTACAATGCTGAAGACTGGACCAAGGGTTTCAAGCATGCTTGGCAAGCGTTTCTACTATTCTATATTCCCAGCTCAGCCTGTCATGCTTAAATCAGCATCTAGGTATGTAGCCTAGGCTAACCTTGAACTCTTGATCCTCTTGTCTTAGCCTCCAGAGTGCTGAGATTAAACCTGTGTGCCATCACACCTAGCTTCTCATTACATTCTTATTCTGTCCATGTAGCTCCTAAAAGGTATATTTAGAGAATGTAATCCTTTTTGGATTAGAATGTATCTCTTAGATTTACTTAGTCACAATCACATGCACATAAATATGAAAATCATAAGTTTAGTTTTAGCCTTTTAAGCAAGTTTTGAAACTTCTCTATTTAAAAAAATCACGTGAGCTGGGCGTCGGTAGCTCACGCCTGTAATCCAAGCTACTCAGGAGGCTGAGATCTGAGGATCACGGTTCAAAGCCAGCCCGGGCAGCAAAGTCCATGAGACTCTTATCTCCAATAAACCACCAGAAAACCTGAAATGGCACTGGGGCTCAAGTGGTAGAGTACTAGCTGAAGAGCTGAGGAACAGCGCCCAGGCCCAGAGTTGAAGTCCAACGACTGACCAAAAAAAAAAAAAAAACACATGGGCTGGGAAGGTGGCTCAGTGGTAGAGTGCTTGCCTTGCATGCATGAGGACCTGGGTTCGATTCCTCAGTACCACATAAGCAGCAAAAGCTGGAAGTGGTGCTGTGGCTTGTAGAGTGCTTGCCTTGATCTGAAGAGTGCAGGGACAGTGCCCAGGCCCAGAGTTCAAGCCCCACAACCGACAAAAAAAAAAAAAAAAAATCGTTAAGTCTGCAGGGAGACTAAGGTCTGCAGAAGAGGATTCTACATCAGTGCTTGAAAACTAGCTGCACAGTAGTACTATCTGGATCCAGCCCTGACCAATAAAGTCAGAATCAGTGTTGTTTAGATCCTAATCATGTGTATTTTTAAAAAACTCCTTGGGTGATTCTACTGTAGAATATTTTAAAAAGCAATAATATAAATCAAACAGCTAGAAGAGGGGAGGTAATTCCTATCATAGGTGTGAAGACTAACTTGTCAGCTTGTTATAAATATACACTCCAAGAACCAACAGGAAAACAAAGAATTGTCTCAATAAGGCAAAATTTACTTCTGCAGATAGGTATGCCACTAGCCAAAAGTATGGGAAGCACAGCACAGAGCAGGTAGATTGCTCCCAAAGCAGTTCCTCTTTTCCTCTTTTTACTTGCTGGAACATTCAAGCAATGTATTTTGGTAGACAAGACAGCTTTTCTCATAATCCTTGCTATTTGGGAGGCTAATATAGTGGTTCAAGGCCATCTGAGGCACACACTTGAAACCCTTTCTCAACTGCTGGACTCCATGGTGGTACAACTTGTTATCCCAGGCCATGTGGGAGGATGAGACAGAACTGCAGTTCCAGAGCAGGTAGAGCAGAAAAGTCTGAGATTTATAACGATAACCTAAACATAAAACTGAGTTGTTTAAGCCAGGCACCAGTGGCTCATGCCTGTAATCTTGGATACTAGGCTGAGATCTGAGGATTTTGCTTCCAAGCCAGCCAGGGTAACAAAGTCTGTGAGACTCTTAATCCCAATTAAAAAGCTGAAGTGGTGGACCTATGGCTTGAGTGGTAGAGTGCTAACCTCTGGCAAAAAGCTCAAGGCGCACCCAGACCTTGAGTTCAAGTCCCAGGACCAGCACAAAACAAAGAAAAACAAAAAACTAATTTGTTTAAACTTAGCCAGTTTGAGCTACACAGGAAGACTGTCTCAAAAAAAACCAAGGGCTAGGATATAGCTCAGTGGGAGAGCACTTGACTAGCATAGGCAAG